AGCCAGGACGACCGAGGGATGCTGTCGGCCGTGTGTGCATGCACGTTGCCAATACCAAGGCCTTGTTTAGATCATCTTCAAATTCTAAGTTTTTTCACTCTCTTTCTATTATATCAATTTTTAGACGCATGCATGGAGTATTAAATGTATGTAAAAAAAATAACTAGTTACACAGTTTGGTTGTAAATCACGAGATGGATCTTTTAAGCCTAGTTAGTTCATGATCGGACAAAGTTTGTCAAATACAAACAAAACGTGCTACAGTATCCAGGTTGCAAAAATTTACAATCTAAACACGGCCCGAGAAAACATGGAGCTAGAGCCGAGAACATTCCCGATCAGGTGGCCTTTATATGAGACTGGAGTCAATAATTATGGAATTTGAAAACAAGCCGATCTTGTATGTGCAAGAAGATGGTTCTGATCACATGATCGGCTCTGCACTGTCCAAGTTCTCATCGATTCATGAGAAAGTTCGTCAACCGATGGATATATATATCAGGGTAAACACTGGACAGATAAAGTCGTACTTCGATGGGGCTTCAATTAAGCTGATGATGTCTATATGTGTTTGCATCCACCGCCGTACGTCAAGAGGGATTAAGAATATTATTTTCAGCAGCATACAGGGATTCCTGAGGCAACAGCCGATAAGCGCCCTGGTGAAAGCATCATTATGGATCCCAAGCAGAGGCACTTATCGACTCAGAGTGAAGGAGCATACATGCATATATGAGGTACATGCCTTTCTACGGTTGGTTCATGTATTCTTTATTCCTCGCTTTTCCTACTACTTGTGAACAAACTGTCATAAGGAAAGTATGCTATCTAAGTAGTTGATGAATGAGATATGGTATGATGAAAGAAACCTTGCTTCTTTTTACAAAGTACTTGAGAAATTTTCTTACAAAAAATTCAAAATCAATAGCTTGTCTTCTCAATGATGTTGAATTTCCTACCAGAGCCATATATTAGTCTCATTAAAAACCTTCCATATAAGTTGTTTGCTCTGTGTTGAGTTTTATCAAGTCTTGTTGACCCTTATTGAGAGATTTATCATGTTCCCAAGATCAAGATCACGTACACGCCATATATATGTGCTACTTCTATACTGGAAGTACGTAATTTTTCATCCACCTCAAAATGTTCTGCTCCTACACTAGGAGAAGACAAAAAATATGTTTACTAGATTTTATTAGAATAAATGCTCTAAGTTCTTGATAATATTTCTCTCAAAAGTTGTTGTAAAAAGAGACATGAGTTATGTAAATATATAAAAAGATGGACACAAAAGAGGTCCAAAGTAAAAAAGAAAAAAAAATGGAAAAGGAAAAGAGATGAGAATAAAGATAACCCATGTTCTCGCAAAAATATTCCACAAGGGAGAAATATATTTTAGAGAGCAAAGTAGAATTGGGTTAGCCACCAAATATTCCACGCACATGCACATCTTAATATAAGAATATGACATTTCTCTCCTTGAATCCGGGATTTGACCTTACAATATATGCAAGGTAAGTACGCTATATATTTTATCCCTACCTGAACTCCACATAGGTTTTTTAGAAGTAGGATAAAGAGAGACAAAGCAATGCTTTGATAAGGAACTATACACATTGACCGATCTGAGAGAATCATTTGAGGAGCAAAGCTATGTTTTAATTTAAAAATCTTTCAAAAACCCAAGTTTTTTGAGCAGGAGATGCAAGGATAACTGGATTCTAATCCATTCCATTCCTCAACCACTCAAGATGATGTGGTAGACACTTCAAAGTTCATTTGTGTAGGTGAGGTTCGGAATAAAGTAATATTACTGCCAATGAATTCCTCGGCTCTTTGGAAGAAGACTATCGGCTAGAATACGTGAGCATATTTCCATACTGCCGGTTAACTTGTGTTGCTATGATCGAGTTTGTTGCTAGCTGATAGTTCATATTTGTAAAATCGATTTGGCATGATATTCTTCGACAAGTCACATACACAGATACTTAATGGTCAATAGCAGGGAAGAGGTCGATGTTCATGATTATTGCCTTTAGATAGCCTATTATAATTATAGACTTGGGGGGCTAGCTCCTAGTCGGCTAAAGCAGATGTACAGAGATGTAGAGAAAGATAAATTTCGGAGTTATTAAGATAAAAAAGAAGATAGAGCCGATGCAACTTTCAGGTATTGCGATCAGATGTCATCGGCTCAGGAAAAGAAGACCATCAGATCAAAATAGTTCGAAGCATGAAAATTCATACTCCAAACTAGGGGAGCCTGTGTTTACACGAAAATTTGGTAAGCTTTCCCTACAAAAGAAGAGATCGGCCGATGATGTCAAAAAAAAAAAAGAGATATTTCATGGCCAAGATGTTGATTTGTTGCAGAACGCAGCTTTGGCACATGCACAGGATCGATTCAAAAATCAGATGTGATTGCCAATGCTCAAGAAGGAAAAGAAATATTATATTTTATTTAGATATTGTCACGTATGCAGGAGGCCACGATGGAAATATAGCTTACAGAAGAAAACTTGGTTACGGAAAGCACGAGATCTTGGCCTGTACTACGGCAGCAAAGAGAAGAAAGATTATTTAGTTGATTCCAATTGCCATACGAGCTGAGAACCAAATCAATTTCTATTTACCCACCAAGTCTACGGAAGTCATCTGACAGAGCGTGCGTGGGAGATCCGGACTCGGCTCAACGGAGATATATTCTTAGATTGTATTTCCATCTTTATTTTTGAGTCTTGCTTGTACACGGCAAAGACCAGCCAACTCGTGTGTGTTATATATATATATATATATATATATATATGAGTTCACGGTCTATTGTAAAAAACACAATCAATCAAATACAAAGTTAATTATTTTTTTTGGTTCCGGCCACCCCTTAGAAGTAGGAGTAGACTAGATCTCGGCGAGTTCTTCAGCAAGTACGGCTGCATCGATCCGGTCAACCTCCACTGCTTGTCTGTAAGTACCGTCATGGTTTATACCTCTGTTCGTATGGCTGCATCGATCTGGTCGACCCCCACTGCGACTTTGGTATAGGCTAGTTATTGACTCTTGTCTAATTTAATTATAGCTTGTTTAATTCTGCGCTCACACCCCACTGCTTGAATTAGATCAAGGTCAAGTTATCGGCTCTACCTCAGTATAACAGTCTTTGATAGATTCATTAAGTTACCGATATTGCTTATTGCTTTCATTATTTATTTAACTACAGCAATACCACTTTGCCCGATTGAAATTGATCTGGATCGGCCTTATATCTTGTTTAACTCATCGTTTGCTAATCTAAAACTGATCTAATCTACATCTTAAGCGATGAGTTATGTTTTTTATCGGTAGTTTTACGTCAATCTTAATCGTGCATAGCGTGCGGTTAAGGTATGTTCGATATTGAGTAGATATATTAGTTAATGAAAACCGTTCCATGGCCTGTCATCACGGCCTGTGGGATTTTGCCTCTTACCCCACTGTTGGCACCGTAGAGTGGGGATTGTTAGTTGGTAGACCCGTTCCTGAGAAGGCATAACCTTAACTGTGCGCTATGCCTGAATCGGCTGTTTAGCCGATATCGAGTGCTTTCACGAACAGTTCGCATTATGAGATCATTGAAGTAGAGATAAGTTGAAAGATATGTTAGCCCCATGATCTTGTTATTATATTACGGCCTGCATGATTCTGTCTCATGCCCCACTAATATTAGTAATGAGTTAGGGTCGTCGAGTCTATTGTTGTTTCTACGGCCTATATTATTCTGCCTCATGCACCACTGGTCATGACAATAGATGAGATCTAACATGTTCATTAGATTTATCTTTATTAAATGGTTAAGTGACGTTGAATTGTCTCTTTACATAAAAAGGAGTTCGGTTACTTATAATCATTGGCTCAGTACAAACCGATCACCATTGATATCCTTATTGCCATTGATTAATTTTTTGCTCGAATTGTATTCATCCTAGATGATAACCGATTCTTTTACACAACCCCATGAGGTTTAACCGATTTATTCTTATGAATATGCTGGAATCGACTATTTAGTCGATCTCCTCTCATATCGGCTCTTAGAGTCACACATTCGAAACTGTCTGGCAACACCGGCACGTTCCGCCCTTAATTACTGATAAGTTTTCTCTCCTTGTCAATTGCAGGGTCAAATTGACTGGCACGTCTCAGGAGGATTGCGCAGGATCAACCACCCTTGCGCTGAAGCTAGGCGGATCTGCTCCATCGAGCGGACCCTTCCAGCTTGCTGCATGTGTCCTTAGTATGAAGACAAAAATTCTGTGTCGACAGAAGTCGTCGTGGATTTTGTTGTCTGCTCGTTGCTTGCCGTCGTCGACTGCTTGCCGTGCTCGTCGTTAGTCGTCCGCCGCCTGCTTGCTCGCTACTCGGCGTGCTCACGTCTTACGATAGAGGCGAGCAACTGGCGTGACCAAATGCCTCAGGGGAGTAGGGCGAGGTCCAAGAGAGATGGGAGCTCTCGGGGTGGGGAACTTCATAAACAGACCACAAGCAAATTTATCTCCTTGTCAAAATAAAAAGAAGCAAATTTGTCAGCCTGCACTCACTAAGCTTTCTTGGATATTGGAAGTTTACAATTACAACTTTGGCGTCCACGACGCACAAACTTTGGACAACTACGTCAGAACAAATTCCTGATCCTAAGCATCCGGCTCTTGGACAAATCGGCAGTTCTCTTCTCCCCATTCCATGGATTCTACTGTATTCTCAACTTGCATTCTTGAAGGACTGCCAAGTGACAGTTTCTGGTAAACAAGACTGTCCAGCATCAACTGCAAAGATCTATTTGTGCGCAGTGCCAGTGCAATCAAATATAACGCCATGTTCGGCTGGTACGTTTTTCGGCTGGTTCAATAATATTATGTGAGGGAGAATAAGCTGAAACCGGCTTGAAAGTAGTTTCGTTACACAGAATTACTTGGAGAGTAACGCTTAAGTAGAAGCTTAGGAATGCTAGACCACTAGGCGGCTAGGCCTCAGCCATCCTTAGCAATCACAATCTGCAGATCAGTCTCTGAGAACTCTGTATATGAAGCCACACTAGCTAGGTTCTCATCATGTGGTGTCAAGCCCTCAACTGATGCACCTAAGTATTCATCAACTAAGGGTTCAAAGACACATCAAGATTCAGTTTGCTGACTTACTGATACCAGTCTAGCGTCTAAAGCTCATCATGTTCCACAGTTACTGCATCATTAAAAATTAAGGTCAGAAAACTTTATGGCATGATATTTACACTCCCGTATGAAACAAGTAGTGAAGGAACCAACCAGAATCAGCTTCTCCAAAGAAAAATGAGATCTCTCTGGCTGCAGATTCCGGTGAATCTGAACCATGCACGCAATTTTTCTCTGAGTCCAGCCCACACATTGCTCTAATGCTGAAATGACAAAGAATACTGTTGGTGACCACAAAAAAGAAAAATAAATACAGTAATGCAATAAAAAATGTATTCAAGCCCATAACTGGTTAAAGGAAAAAAATATAATTTTTAACCTGTTTGGATGAGAGGTTTTGGCCTTTCTTGCATCAGTTGGTCCAATCAAAGCTCTCCATTGCGCAATGGCATCATGTCTTTCCAGAACCATAGCGAGAACTGGACCACTAAAGATGAACACAAACATAAAAAGTCATGTTACAAACTGTTAGTGCCAATGTTAGCCTCGAAGTGCCTAATGCAAATGTACAAGCTAAACTGAACAGAATTTGCAATCCGGGAATAAAAGGGTCAATGAAGATTCAGATATAGCGTGCTGACAAGTCAACTGTGGCTAAGTTTAAAACACCTCACTTCAATAGTTTTAGTAATTCCCTGTTAACCTAAAGATTGCATCTTCGCCGCATAAGTATTTTAATGGAATAATGGCACATACAAATAGAATAACAATTAGCTTGACATGCTCATATCTCAGAAATTGCTACTTGCGTTTTAAGGAGATAGCTACCAAAGATCAATTTAGCTAAGGGTTTGGTGTCAAGAGGTGTACAAATCAGCATCCTGCCACCTACATTAAGAACAACTGAAGACAACACAAGCAACAGAGTAGAGGTTCTAGACGACTGGAGGCTGGAGCATAGACTAAATGAAGCATTATATGCAAGAAACATAAGAGGCACGAGTCTTTCAAGCAACAATAATACCTTGTTATATACTTGACTAGGCTGTCAAAGAAGCTTCTCTGGGAATGCTCCACATAGAAGAGAGACGCCCTCTCAGCATCAAGCTGGACCTCGGTCTCTTTGACGATGTGAAATCCAGAATCCAAGATGGCCGCCTTGATTTTTTCCGTGTACTTACCTGACAAACCATCCGGCTTGATCATCGCAAGGGTTCTCTCCCTCTCGACAGCCCCACATCTGCAGCACCTGAATTGATAACATTCCAAAATCCAACATCACTTGCAAGTACACAAGCCTTGCAGCCTTGTAGGCTTCTTCAGCCACTTCCTGTGTACAGCTACAGCATATAACGCACCCCAAAAAGCGGCCCTCAAATAAGATCTACTTTGGTTGATCTAGAATTATGAATTATGTACGTTGAAGAACCATCGTGCGTAGTTAGGTCCACGGCCGGGAAGTAGGCATGTTTGTCATCGATATATCCATAGGGTCCAAATTAAGGATGGCAGGCCGAAACCTTGCTCAGATGTTCTGAAGCAAGCATCCTAGTCTAGCAAATCTAACATTTTTTGGGCAAAGAAAGGTCGAGAAGCTAGTTTCTGCAGGCTGGATGGACCGCACTGGGAGCAATAAAGGAGCCCAAAAGTCCAAAGTTCAGCAGCGCAGCTGCGCAGGAGTGGTGGTAGAAACAAAACAAGCGCGGCTTACCCGTAGAGAAAGAGGAGCAGGAGCGGAGGCAGGCAGACCCTGACGAGGGCGCCAGATGCCGGCGTGGTGGCTCCAGCCATCCGCGGCGGCGCGGGGGAGACAGGGAGCCCGCGGTGCGCTTCCCCGGTCTGAAGCCTTGCTCTGCTCAAGTGTTCTGGTTCAGGCAGCCGACACAGGACCCGATGTCCGGTTTTCTCCGGCGGTGGACCTAGCCCGAGGCCCGTCTCTCTGTTGTCCGGCCTGGCCCATTTCGGCCCAGCAAGGAAGGCAGCAGGCAGCCAGATCCAGCCATCCCGCTCCGTCCAGGCGACGACTCGCTCGCTTTGCTCCCCTCGCCGCCGGACGCGACGGCCACAACACACCGGAACCGGAAGCGCAGAAAATAATCGGAACAATTCCGCGTTCCCCATCCATCCCGGAAATATCCCCAAGGAAACCCTCGCCCCCCTCCTCCCCCGCCGCCGGCCGCTAGATCTCCGGCCATGGACGACGACGGCGCGGCCTCCCGGTCGCCGTCGCGCTCGCCGTCCCGGTCGCCGTCGCGCTCCCCGTCCCCGCTCCCCGTCGCCGACCCCGTCACGGTCGCCGCCGCGCCGCCCGGCCACGTCGCCGTCGCTATCCCGCTCCGCAAGCCTTCCCCTTCCTCGGGCGGCGGCGGCGGCGGCCGCGAGGACGCGTGGAGCGACGGCGCCACCTCCACGCTCATCGACGCCTGGGGGGAGCGCTTCGTGGCGCTGGGGCGGGGCAACCTCCGGCACCCGCAGTGGCAGGAGGTCGCCGAGGTCGTCTCCTCCCGCGACGGCTACTCCAAGGTGCCCAAGTCGGACGTGCAGTGCAAGAACCGCATCGACACGCTCAAGAAGAAGTACAAGATCGAGAAAGCCAAGCACGACTCCGACTGGCGCTACTTCGACCGCCTCGACGACCTGCTCGCCCCCGTGCTCAAGCCCAATTCTTCCTCCTCCTCGGCTTCTGCTGCTGCGGCGGCGGCGGCAGCAGCCGCCCGGAGCTCTGGGCCCATGGTGCCGCCGCGCATCAACTTCCCGCAGCGCACCCGCACGCCGCTCCATTCCTCGGCGGGGGCCAAGCGGAGGATGCCGCCGTCGTCGCCGCCGCCGCAGCCGTCGGCGTCGTCCGACTCCTCCGACGGGTTCCCGCCGTCTTCCGCGGTGGCGAACGGGAAGAGGCAGCAGCGCGTGGAGGAGCCCTTAGCCGCCGCCGCCGCGGCCAACGGTGGCGCGGAGAGCAGCAGCGTGAGCCGCGCGCAGGGCCTGCGCGACCTGGCGCAGGCGATCCGGCGGCTAGGGGAGGTGTACGAGCGCGTGGAGAGCGCCAGGAGGGAGCAGGAGCTCCGGATGGAGCGGGAGCGCCTGGAGTCCGCCCGGCAGCTGGAGGAGCAGCGCGTGCAGTTCTTCCTCAAGATGCAGATGGAGCTCTCCAAGGCGGCCACGGGCGGCGGCGCGGCGGCGGCCACCACCGCGCCCATGGCCGCCGTCCCCATCCCTGCCGACGGCAACGGCGCGCGGAGAGCCGGCGTGACCGCCGAGGTCGCGACCAGCAGCAACCACCGCGTCCGGTACCGTATCAAGGCCGGCAGCAGCAGGCACCCCCACCCTGCCGCCCCGCAGCAGGCACATTACCAGAACAGCAGCACGAGCCCCGCCGGGGGCGACGGCGATGGCAACGGCAACGACTCGGACAACAAGGAAGCGGCACAGGAGGAGGATGCGGAAGACGAGGAGGAAGAGAGCCAGTGATGATTGCTCTCCTCTCCGGTCCTCTCCTCTCCAGCAATGGAATGGTAAACTCAACAGAAATTTGCATCTGTTAGTAATCGGGTGTTTTGCGCTAGCAGAAAAATTTGCTGCTCCCAGACTCTGGTGAGCTCAACTAGGTGGTAGTGGTGGTGTTAGCTACAAGAAGCAAGGATTAGCATTGAATTATGGTAAGTAAGCTGAATAGTGTGGGGGTGACTGTGTAACTTGTTCTACCTGCCTGTTTGTGCCCGGGACTGTGCTCTGTTGTCAGGAAATTGTCATAGAGAGTTTGTCATCATATGTAACATGCTTAATTTTGTGGAAATTGTTAGCTGTATTTGTGTTTATTCTTGGAATGAGTATTGGTATCTGTTCAGTGCTCGCTCTGCCTTTATTGAATTTATTCGCTTGAACTTATCGGCCAAGATACAATGTTTTTCTCTCCCAGCAAATCAGTTTCAGCAGAAACCATCAACCACACAGCTGGATTATTTTTCATGCCCAGGGCTGTGTGGAAAAATAAGTCAGTCATCTGTCTTCTCTGCCATCTGATTGATTTCAGACTCATCGTTCATCAAGCAAAGGGCAGTAGTCTGGGATTCCTGTAACGGCAGGATGTCATGTACTCCTTTCTGGTGATGACAAACAGAATATTATTGTGCATCATGCCATGTGACAAATCAATGGTGATGAAGCGCAATACGCTCCGCTGGTTTATTATTATCGTTGTACTTGTACATATGGGCTTTCGGGGTTGAAATCGGCAGAATCTTTGGAGACATAAAAGGCCCAGTGGCTAATTAACCACTGTTGATTAACTTGATACTTTACGCAGACCCTGCTTGCCACAAGAGAAGAACTGTATGGCATTTTTGCTTTGTGGGGGACCATTGTTCGCTATGAACGAAAGCGTTGCTGCAGTGCTGCTAGGCACTCGAAAGCATTGCTGCAACAAGCAGCTTGGTTCTGCTGTGACTGGATTCAATCTCAAGCCAAAATTTTATATTTTTATATCCAAAACAGAAGCGAATTCTTTTAAACAATTTGAATTGATTTTAATTGTTTTTTAATATACAAACAAGGCTCCGGCTATTTCGCATTACATCGAATGAATGTTTCCATCTGCCTCAGAAATCAAGCAACGGGAAACAACTTGAGCTCAGGAATTACTCCACCAGATTATTATACCGTCTAAATGGATCGATTACTTGGCAACTAACACAGATAATTCATGACAACGAAACTGAGTTCCGATGGTACATATCCATTGCATTAGATACCATAGTCTATATATACTTCCTTTGATCACAAATCCATTCCAGTCTAGTTTTATTCTAGATCAATGTTCTTTAACTTTAATTATGAATACCTTACCATATATTGACAAAAAAAAATGGCATTACTACATGGATTTTTTTTACGTAAAACACTTTCATCGTATATTGCGCATCCAGGTGCATCAAGTTTTAAATTGTATTTTTGGGTCCATAAACTTTTTAACTGGTTCACCGTAGGTCCATACCCCTTCGTTTAGCGAATAGATCTGACATGGCACGCCAAATATGCAGCCACCATGGAGTAGGTGATGAGTCCATAGCTCCTCAAGATGTTCATGGAGACTTGTCTAGCAATAATTCAAATGTAGTAGCTGGTAATTCGTTAATATCTTCTGGTCTTAAATTTGGAACTATTATTTTTAAGGGTAAATATATTGTGGACATTGAGAAATTTACAACTGCTGGACTGTCATCAAAGATATTTTATAGATGTACCTTATTATTGCGTGGAAAGGAGGAGAAAATAAAGCCAACAAATACATAAGTACTAATTCTAAAGAGATGGTGATCATCAATGGAATTTTCCCAACGTGATTAACATCCTTGCCGTAGTATTTTATTATTTTCATGCATTAGTTTCCTATCCAGTTGTGACACACGATCTTTTATCTAGCATCTAGCTTTTAGTGCCTGCGTGCACCTGTGTACGTGAATTAAATTGGTGGCTGCGTTTGGACGTGCCATGCATGTTAGCCGAATCAGGGACTCAGGGTCAATCGGTCCTAGTTGGGCTGGTGGAGTCCGAGTTTTGTTTGGGTCAGGTGGCTTGCGTGCCTATATCTGTGGCCTTCGGCCTTGTACCAGGTAGATTAGACTGAATTTTATTGTGGAGTTTATTCCCCCATCGAGCCGCCGCTCGAGAAACCCTAGATGGTGATCTCATCAGGTTCTTCGTATTGAAGATTATCTCTGGATGGTGATCTCGTCCTGTACTCCACAGTGGCTGCTTATTTGGCGTGCCATGTCAGATCTATTCGATAAACAAAGAGGTATGGACCTACGGTGAACCAGTTAAAAAATTTAGGGACCAAAAAATACAATTTAAAAGTTGATGGACCTGGATGACACACCACCAAAAATTAATGGACCAAAAAATACAGTTTGAAAGTTGATGGACTTGGATGACACACCACCAAAAGTTAATAGACCAAAAAAATACAGTTTAAAAGTTGATGGACTTAAATAACACATCACCAAAAATTAATAGACCTACGGTGTATTTAACTCTTCCTCAAGTGTCATTATCACTGTTATGCATTGTTCGATGCATGATGCTACTGACTCTAGCCTTAAAGGTGTTGACCCGGAGCCATTTCAGCTACCTTCGCTTAGCCTCCCATGCTAGTCCGCCACCACCTGACCATCGGGTCGTGGGCGTGGACACGCTGCTTCCATGCATGCATCAAACTATCGAAGAGATCATTGCCCCATCGGCCATCACTGCTGCCACGAAGTGTCGCATGGTCGGTGAGCCCGGAAGAGCAGGGCCAAAAGCAAGATCGTCGATGCATGATGCTCCATCTAAACCTGAGCTTCACCAAGCGACAATTATAGTACCTACTAGGCTACTACCGTTTAGCAATCACCTTGAACATATCAGATCATATCAAATACTAGTAAATATCACAATAACTTGCAAGTAACCAAAACACCATGATTCATACATATACCAACAAAACTGAGTTCCAATAATCCATCCATTTAATACATGTACATATAAACATTACAAACTGAAACAAACAAAACTGAGGACCAATAATGATCCATTGCCTTAAGTAGATAGTTAAATTTCAGATGTACATATGAATACTGCAAAAAAGAACAGAACACTCCTAGCTTAGCTGATATGTAGTAGTACCACGTAGCCAGGGTCTAGCCAAAACGTTTCTACCCTTTATTAGCAGCAGCAGCGTGTCTGTACTTGCAGGTCAATGCATGGCAATCAACATGGACAGGGGAGGCAAGAAATAGCGGAACTGAGCAGTGCTATCCCAGTGTAGCATCATCTGGGCGCACCCTGGCCACACCCACTGGTGCTCATGCATGTCATATATCGCCTGTATGCAGACGATGAGCTCCTCGACCGTATAGCCCGCCACCGGCATCGCCGTCGAATAGTACAGGGTCGTCCTCGCCAGCAAGATCGCCGATGCGGCCACGGCGGACGGCAGGAAGGCCACGGATCGGTAGTCCAGCAGCGCCATGTCGGCCAGGTGGTGCGCCAGGGCCCTGACTGCCTCCTCCTCCTGGCTGTGCCTCATGAAGTGATCGACGAACGTGTAGGCCGTGGGTCCGCTCAGGCGGTAGCCGAGCACGGCAACCAGCTCGCGTTCCTGGTCCACGGCCTCGCTTCTGGTGCACCCAGAGTACATGGCGACGTGGTCGGAGTTGATCTTCAGCACGGTGTTCCTGTCCTCGTACTTGGCCGCTGCGAATACGGCTGCGGCGCCGAGGAGGCAGATCTGGCGCTCGTCGCGGTTGATCTTCTTGGCCGACAGGAACCGGTCGACGAAGGAGACCGCGCGGTGGAACGCTCCCGGGGCGAGGCAGTAGTGTGTGGAGAAGCGATGCATCTTGTCGATGAGGTCGGCGCGGTCCATCATCATCATCTCCCCCGCCTGTCGGTCGCTGAGGTAGTCTAGCGAGGGATGTTCCATGGCCTCTGTCTCCATGGTCCGGAACGTGGCGTCGATGTCGGCGTCGTAGTCGTACTGCGGCGGCTGCCTCGTCTTGGGCGACGTCTTGGTGGTGACTGCGTCGTTTCCCTCGCTGGCATCGTCGTCGCCGTAGCTGAGTGGCCCTGCAAGCACCACCGCTGCTGCTGGCGTCCTTGGAGAGGCGTCAGAAGCATCCACGGGCATCGAAGCAAAGCTGGCGGCCGGGATGCGAACGCTCCGAATACCGTGGAGGACGGCCTCGAAGTTGCTGTCCTCGTAGGCATAGTGATAGTTGTGTCGCCGAGACCGCGCATGAAACTCCGTGGGTGGCATCGGCAGATCCGCGGCGGCGGGGGTGCGAGGGCGCACGACGGCGTGTATGTCCCGAAGCAACGCGTCGATGTCGGCGTCATCGTCCACGCCATAGTCGCACCAGCGCAGCGCGGCAGGAGCGACCTCTGCGTGCGTCGCCATCGTCGTCCTCTTCATGATGTCTGCACCGGCGAGGGTGGGAAAGACGAAAGGAGCTACGTTGCACATGGTGGAGATCGCCGCACAAGAAGCTAGGAACCCTAAGAGATGGAGATTAGAGAGGTGGAAAAGGGCAGGACAGGACGATGAGGCGACGGGAAGGTGCTCCCACTATTTATCGTAACGAGATGCTGCAGATAGACAAGCGGGGGTTGCTCCGATCCCATGCGTGTCCGAAATGGAAGTCGTAACAGAGTCAGCAACCATACGTACAATGCACGCGACTAACTTGCAATGATGTCGTTACAGGTCTAATAAGCCTCTAACCGAGATTAATTCAGACACAGAGTAGGTTGTTCATTTCGTTTCCGATTCAGCTGAACTCATTTCCTGTGTCCACGACTCCACGTGGAACAAATTGCTACCTAAAAGCTCTAGGACACGTAGACCCGAGCATCTCCAAAAATTTTTCTAAAATTTGCTCTCTAAATTATTATTTGAAGAGTCATTTGAGTAAAATTGTTTTCTATATTTT